CCCGCCAGACCTAGTGTTTTGCAGAAATCTGGCACGCAATAGTATGACATCACTATTTCAACCATCTACGCATGCATGGAACTAAGACAAAGCTTAATATAAATGAAAAAGTTTAGAAGTATTGGAATTACCCATGATGTCGGAATATGGTGTGTTTACCCTACGATTCCTATGAGGCTAGGGTAAATGCGGTATATTCCAAAATCGTGGGTAATTCCAACACTTCTGGACTTTTTTTCTTTATATTAAGCTTTTTTTTTAGTTCCATGCATTAGTTGACGGTTGAAATAGTGATGTCATACTTTTGCGCGCCATACGATTGCCAAAACCCTAGGTCTGGGCCGTCTGGCGGGAAAATGTTGAGATCCAAAGAGAGACAGCGCGCGTCACTCAGTGAGAATATCGAAAAATGTGTCAAAGTTGATAGTTGACCTTGCTCTACCAAATAGTGATAAACTGTTTGTGTAGAAAGAATATTATGGTTTGAGACTTTTAAATACGTCTGTGAATATATTAGGAATCCTTTAAGTATACTTGTATTTGCCGATTTCAAGTGGTAAAAAGTGGTTTTGGTGGTCCGCATTGGAAATTTTTAATGGAACCTGTTCCTAACTGGACCTAACCTGCAAGGTTTTCATTAATCGGCTAGGTTTTTTCTATGTTTGGAGTATAGTGGCAAAGCAGAGACTTTTTCAGCAGACTCTCCTTCAAGTTCATTTTTGAGTCCCATAACCATAAGTAGACCAGTTAAGTATCATGGATACCAGCACTATCATACATAAGATATTGATTTAAATCTTGAGTTGATGAAGAAATAAAAAATGAACTGATTCTAAAAAATCTCTGGTTTGTCACTATGGACTTTGGAGTGCATCCGGCGGCTGGGAAAAACCTAGCCAATAGGTTTTTTCTGTTTGGAGTCCGTCCAGCGGCGGGAAAAACCTAGCCAATCAACAAAATGTTAATAGCACACGCTCGCAAGATGCTCACCATATCATGGTTAACGCTAGACTGCTGTCCTCAACAGCATTGCCGCCAAATTGCATCACGTTACAGCCAGCCTACGCCACGTAGGCTACCGGCGCTCCCTGAACCAATCAGAGCGCAGCACAAAGCCATCTCACGACCAAACAAGTGTGACGTCACAACCACTTGACAACACCAGCAGGCAGCAGACCAATCAGATATTAACACAAAAACCTTGCAGGTTAGGTCCAGTTACAGTTAGGAACAGGTTCCATTAAAAATTTCCAATGCCAACCACCAAAAATGGATTTCAGATTCTTAATCTACACCCCAAAAAAAACATATAATTAAAAAAACACCCCTTTTTTGGATGCACTTAATCTAAAGTATTACCTTTTTTGCTACATCCTTAAAGTGTCGGAAATTGGAATATACCGCGTATAGTCAGATGGGGTAAGACAGGACCAAAATCACTAACAAGCCTGTAGCATCTATACCATGAATAACTAAAAAACCCTAAACCTATCACAAGGTGTAGTTATGCAATAGGCTTCTAAGCTACAACTCAGACGTTTTGCATATAACATAGTTTTCTGTACAGATTAAAAAAAGTGAGCTGGTCCCATCTTACCCCATTGGGGTAAGATGGGACCAGGCTGGGGTAAGAAAGGACCAACAGGTAATTCTTATGTTACAAGGTTTTTAATAAAAGTACAAATCTGATATTCAATATTATCCATCTAGAAACACGTTATTTGATAAAACAACCACTTGTTACTGTTTTGTGTCATGGGAAGTCAACTCTAATATCAGTCACATTGAAGTTTTTGTCACAAGAAAACTTTGTTAAGCATAGTAATAGTGGGTTGGCTTTGGTTCATTGTAGAGCACTGCTAAATGCTTTATGTATATTCCATTAGTGTCATTGTCTGAAAAATTTATCAATTGGTAATAAAACCAATGGATAATAACTTGAGTATCAGACATCATGTGTTTTCTTGCTAACTGCATTTGTGGTGCACTTCTTCAAACATAGCTCATGCCCTCTCACAGAGTTGTGTGATCATAATTATTTTTCATGTTTAACACAATGATTTTCCCCCCAGCCAATCTTGGACATACTAATTCTGCAGCTCACTAATGGGAATAGACATCCCTTTTTTCTATATCCCTTTGATGCTATTTAAAATAGTGCACTAAATTTCTCTAATTAAAAAAGCTAACAAGTTATAATGAAGTTTGAGCAAAAGATAAAAATTTTGACCAAAATACTCCATGTACTACACAATAATATATTCATTTGAAAACTATTTTTAATAAACTGTGGGGTAATAGAGGGCCATTTGTGGGGTAAGACCGGACCATTTGTGGGGTAAGATAGGACCACTTGTGGGGTAAAACAGGATCATTTAGTGGTCCTGTCTTACCCCATGTCCGGTCCTTTTTTACCCCATTTTAGAATACATGTCAGGCAGTGATGGTAGCAGGTAGAAATGCCTAGTATGTCTCAAAAGTTGCTCATTACTTGAGGTTTCCTGCCTAGATTCACAAACCTGGCCAAAAAATTTTTTGTCATTAGACAGAGCTTATTTCCCAAACAGGGTTAATTATTTTGTGACCCTTCTTTACATAGGTTTTCTTTAAAAATTAGCCAGAAATTCATTATTTGCAGAGGAGGGTTGAAACAAACACTGAAATGACAGGCAATGATTGTTCTAACATATTCTTTTGTCAAATTGAATTCCATGCAATTAGAATGCACACCATGGGCTGGTCCTTTCTTACCCCATGAAGGCTGCGGTCCTGTCTTACCCCATTTGACTATATACGCTATGAGCTAATTTAAAAGATTTTAGCACCACTAGAAAGCTCTTGTAGAGTTGTAGTAGCCTTGTCATCCAGGTGGCTCACTGGCTTGGCTTGTTCCCTTCTGGTTTCATCCCTTGTAGGCTATCCATTCCAATGAAAATAAAACATTCTAGTTGAGACTTTGACTGTAGGTCAGTACCTAGGAGGCTAAGTGGGTGGGTAAATATTATATACAGTGGGGGGAAATAAATATTTGTACACTTGAAAAATCGTATTTTAATGTATGTAAGTACACAAACTTAACAGGAAAAGTGATTTAAATTATGTATAGAGACGCATAGTATTCAAAAATACTATCAAAAGAAATTAAATCTCAATGCAACAAAAAACAATGCAACAAGTGTACGGTCAGTGTGATTACGTAATTTGCATTGCCGCGCGTCCATATTTAAACTATTTTAGCTTTCTAAAAGTACGGCGCTGTCGGCGCACAGCGCATTTCTTTTACCGGCATAGTACGGCGCACCACGCAGGTCGTTAAAATGACAATATAAATTCCCGCGCACCTGGCACATCTTCCTGACCATGGCATGGATACCAGCATCATCATACATGAGAAATTGGTTTAGATCTTGAATAAATGAGTAAATTAAAAATGAACTGATTCTAAAAGATCTCTGCTTTGCCACTATGGTGCAAAGACATTAACCCTGTCCCTGGGCAAGTTACCATGATCATACATGGGCAAGTTACCATGTATGATCACTTGAAATCGGCTCATAAAAAGCCCTACCACGGCTTCCAGTTTGTTTTTTAGGCTTCCTTATAATGCCTCAGTCAACACTATTTAGCTATCTGACAATCATTCCATGATTCCATCCACATTCCATAGCATGATAGCCCCACCACCAGTGCTGTCCACAAATTCAAATATGAGCTATTAAATGAAGGTTTTCCTTCAGACAATGGAATTGACACTCTTTCTGCATTTTTTCAAATGGTGGAAATATCAATATATATTTAATTATTTCATGTATTGTAAGTTTGTAACTTGATTAAATTAAACTGTTATTATACTAATTTTTTATTTGAATAAACAAAATTTTAATTATAAAGAAAAATTTTATGTACTGACTGCATTTAATGAATTCTTCAAGTGCCATTTAAACCTTCAATGGGCAAAATTTTTAAAAATAAATATGAATAAATATTTCATATAATAGGTACTTCTTACTTTCTTAAAATGGTTTCTGAAATTTAATTTATGGATATTTCAAAGCTGGGCCGCAGGCCGCAGCCACTAATGGGTCAAACTTACCCATCTTGTGATCTTGGAAAGCCTCCTTTTCTTCAGTGGATGAAATTATGCAAAGGACGGCAAATTTTCTGGAAAGAGAATAAAGATATTAATTCAAATAACCTGAGGAGGCTGGGGTACTTGTTTACACAAATATATAAGGAAAATATCTAATATATAGGCCTAGCCTATATCACATAGATGGTAGGTAGGCCTATTGCAAATTTCATCAGCAACCATAAAAATATAATGGTTGGTAGCCTTATAGCCTATGCATTTAATAATTTGTTGCCTTCCTCGGCTGCTTCCTGTTCCACTCTGGCCTCTGCCAGCGCCTTACTTTTCACGTTACCTACATTTAGCTTACAATAACGTGAAGTTGTTATACACTTATACCTAATTTGTAAACGTATTCCTAATTGAAAACTAATAAGCTCAGTGGACACTACATAGGCTATAACATTCTCTAATGCAGATCATGGTCAACAAGAACTAGGGCATATGACGAAGAAGCAACAATTATATGACGGTACTCGTAAAGCTATAGGCCTACTACACTTAGATTAGTAACACATTGTCTCGTACTAACCAAATCTATTGTTACTATTGTAATTTGTAACTATATCAATTCAATGCCCATCTTAGTCGCAAAACCAAGTCCAAAACAGAGTGCGGCTGTTCATCCGCGTGTTGCCACTTCAGCGTAAAATTCAACACTATTACAGGGCCGATACGAATGACAGAGTTTATAATTTTGGTCGAGCAACTTATTTTTAATGGCTTGTATATTGTTGGAAGTATGAATAATTTTTAATTTGAAATCAACTGTGATAGGTTTTATCAAAAATGGTACCTGTAATAGGTCATGAAAACAACCATGAACTGAATGCATTTAGCGGAAAAGCTTGGGCATTCAAGTCGAAATTCTCGGGACATATGCTGGCAGAACTAATGTTGCGATCGCGGATGTAAGGTCTAACCTCGTGGACTGTGAAGATAAACTTCGTTTATTGGGCACTGTTCAACTGTTTTTTTACAATCAATATAATTTCTTGTAAAATAAACAGTAAAAATGAAATCAATCGAAGAAATAAATCACATTAAAAATAAGGAAAATCGCCGTAAACTTTACAAAAAGTATTTACGAATCAAGAGGAGGGTGAGTCAATTTACTACTCATTGTGAACTTGAGGGATTTGGAATTCAATTTTCTGTCATATTAATTTATGTTTTGTTGTTGTCAGTTTTAACTTTGTTTAGTTTATTATTGAAATATTTTGTGATTGCTTGATGTTGATGATAATTCCTAGTCTTTTAGGCCAGATCTAGCCACTACTTACCTACCTAGAGGCTAGGTAGCAGGCCAGCACGAGCCACTGTGCAGAGAGTGAACGAAGATTTAAAGACCTACGGCAACGCATTATTGGCAAAATTTTCGCCTTCAGAAGATCTTGCCGACACATTTAGATTGAAATTCTTGCATTTAATATATTTCTCAGTCTTCAGCCAATTATTTAGAAAAAAAGTAAGGCATAGTGGCAAAGCAGAGAGTTTTTTAGACTCTGTCTCAAGTTCATTTTTGAGTCCTATAAGTAGACTAGTAAAGTATCATGGATACCAGCATTATCATACTTGAGAAATTGGTTAAAATCTTGAGTAAATGAGGAAATTAAAAATGAACTGATTCTAAAAAACTAGAGTATAGACCTGTATTTTGCATGTTTCAATTCAAGTTTAATTTAGCTAGTAAAAAAATGGCATCATTTATAAAAGAAATGTGGTCTAAGTTACCCCATTTTACAGTACCGGTATGTCATTTTGAAGCCAGAAGGTGTTATTAATTAGCAGTCAAGTGGAAAATTGGGCAGATGACATCCTTGAATTAGACAAAAATACCTGTAAGTAAATTTGGCCAATTTAAAACATTTTTTCAACTTTTTATAATTTCTGCAATATTCCTAATTTCTGTAGTATAAATCAATGTAAAAATGATGGTTTAGTTTTACTATAGGAAACTTCTGCCCAATATTCTAAATTTTCCAATTTGGCCCTCTTGGCCAATTGCCATTAAAACATACAAGTTATAAAATACCTAATACCTATTGAACTAGTATAGATTTTTATATTAACAGATACATTTTTAAATGCTAAACTAGAAACAATAAAAATATTAGATGGATAAAGATAGATTAGTGATTAGTAGAAAAAGACTTAGTGGCAAAATTATTTTGACAGCCATAAATTAAAAATTTTGACCATTAATTTGGCTACCTAATGAATTTGGCGTTAAATGTCAAGGATTCAAATTTTTATCCAAAATCAATGTGTAATGTCTATTATCCCAATGCTATATAACTATCCAATTTATTTGTTATCTGAAAAGTTATTTTAAAATTATATATGCCGTTTTTATGCCAATTTAAAGCTATTTTGGGTATTTTTTCTTTTGACTTATTTTTTCATGGACATTTTCATTACCTCTTCTTATCCCAGTTCATTTCAGGCAGGCACATAATATATCTACTTGGCAAGCTGCGACAATTTTTGTAGCCATGGTTTTATGGATTTGCCAGCCGTGATTCCATTTCTTTCAGCCGTGAATTCCATATCTCAGCCATTACAAGCCATTTACAAGCTGGCAGCCACAAACTTTTTACTAAGTCCTGTGCATTTGCTATCCCTAATCTCTAATTTTACCCTACAACAGTCAACACTAACATTTGTCTTCACTTGAGTGGCAACTGATCATGTGATAATGCAGTCTGACTGCTCTGACATGACTGCAACTACGTGATCTATAAAGAATCGTTTTAGGTTGACTTGTTGTTTCGCTTTGCAGGATATTTTGGCAGGATTGTTGAAAAAGTGCAGATTGCGGAAGTTGGAAATATTATGAAATGACATTTGTAGAGTGCAAACTGCAATTTTTTCAATCAAACAAAAATACAAGACATTAGAGCCGCAAGAGTTCAAACCTACTGAAATTACCATATATGATATTAGAGCCGCAATATTTCAGAAAAAATAGGACTTTTCCAGCCCTGATTTCAAGTAACTTGTTCTGAGAAGTAAAATTTTAGTATGTACTGATAGGTTATTTATTTCATTGAATTTTGAATTGATGCTTGTTTCTTGGTTGGTCACTCATGGGCATAGTGGCAAAGAATAAAATTTTTATTGCCTTTCCTCATGTTCATTGTTGAGTCTTATAACTTTATAAGTAGACCAAAAAGTATTGTAAATACCAGCTTTCTCATACCTACTTAAAAAATTGATTAAATTTTTGATTAAATGAGAAAAATAAAAATTTACTGATTCTAAAACTGAGAGATTTTAGAATCAGTTCATTTTTATTTGCCACCATGCTTATGAGGAATATTGTCAAGATTCTATTTTGTCAAGGTTGTTTGTCTTGGTATAATACCAGAATGAACATGAAAGCTGAAAATTGTCTCAATTTTTTATTTCTAATTAGGAATAGTCTTTTAAGACTAAAATTTATATAAAAGGTAAATGATTCAATTTTACAACACTTCTCTTTAACTTCACTTCTTGTCTGTTTGTTTGTCTGTCTGCTACAAATCTTGTAATCAATTTAATACACTTCTACTTATCCTATCGATCTGAAAAATTGCACACTTGTGTAAAATTGGAGACAATGCATGAATCAAATGTCAAAATAAATTATTTTGAAAATAAAAAAAAAGTTTCAATATTTGAAAAAATAATTTTGTCAGCTACAAATCTTATAACTGATATTTGACACACTTTTACCTGTCTAATTGATCTGAAATTTTGCACACTTGTGTGAAGTCAGAGGCAATGCATGAATCAATTAATAGGATAACAAATGTTGAAAAAATGTATATATTAAAAAATTTATACCTATATTAAAAAATTGAAAAATTAATTTTTTTAATATTCAAAAATTAAATGAGAAATTCATTGTACATCTGTAAGATTAGAGACACTGGATTTTTTGGAAGTGTTGTCTTTAAAAAGTAATTTTTAAACGTATATTATTTATACTTCATTCAGACCTAAACACATTGTGGTAATGTGCTGATTGTCCTGTAAGTGATGATAGAACATAATTTAGTATCAAATTATTGATGTTATCACTGTGTAACAGTTCTTAATGCCACCATCAGATAAAATTTGCTTATAAACCTCGATAATAATCATATTAGTTGAATGGTAAATTTTATTATTAATTTCTCATTATTAAATTGTAGAAAAATTGAAAAGATTTTGTGATCTTGAAAGATGTATTTTGAGTGATATATGTATATAGAAAATTGTCTGCTACTATGAAATTTGAAATCAACAAAATTTAAATGTCTCAAAACAAAATTTTTTAAAAGCAAGACTAGATCATTTGGACAATTTTTGGGTTTCATTTTAGCAGCAAGACATCTAGTATCTGTTCATCTGTTTTAGGTGGCATTGGCTTCTTTAAATCATGTTTGGCTGCTTGAAATCACAGATCATGTTTGAAACTGCTTATGGTAGCCACAAATAGACAAAGAGCTTTCATCCACACCAGCAGCTATTTTAAAACTTCACCAATACACTAGAAAGATGATGGACACATGCACAGGGGTTAGACAAAATAAGGGAAATATCTGAGAAATCCACAAAATATATTTCAGTATGGGGTTGGTATGCCTTTTGCGGCAATTACAGCCTCAATTCTCCGAGGTGTTGGTTCATACAAATTGTGAATTATTTTCTAAGGAATATTAACTATACCTTCAGTTAAAACTCCCTCCAGCTCTCTTAAAGACAATGGTGGTGGGAATTGTCTTCTGACTTGCATCTCTAAAATTGACCATAAATGCTTGATAATATTTGGGTCTTGTGATTGTGGTGGCCCAATGAGATGCTCAAATTCATTAGTCTGTTCCTCGTGCCATTTTTTAACAATTCCAGCTGTATGGATTGGGGCATTATCTTGATATATGGCATTCCCCTCCGAGAACAGTGCTTGAAACGTAGAATGAACTGGGTCCTCTAAATCATAAATAGTCATGGTTGTTGATTCTTGGTCTGTTGGAATTCTAAGAAATAGCACCTTCAGACCATCACAGATTCCATGCTGTGTTTCACAGTCTGGAGGAGGCAGTTGGGATTAAATGACTCATTTGGCTGTCTCCACACATAAGAGGTTGGAAATAAGGTAAATGATGATTCTTAAGAGAAAATCACATTTTTTCCCTGCTTGAAAGACTAATTTTGGAGGTTTTTTACACTACTATAAATGCCTTGAAGCAATTGTATTTGAAACCAGAGATTTTTTAAGTGTAGCTATTCCAGAGAATCCAGATCTGTGCAGCTCTTGGCAGACTGTCTTCATTGAAACTGAGTTCTGTAGGTGTTCATTATGGTATGCAAAAATTTTAACAGCCATGCTTTTTGATTGCCCTTCAAAATTTGATTTAGGTAACACTCAGACAACTTTGACCTTTGTCCAAACCTGTGATTTGCAGTGGATGTTTTCCCATCTCTTTCAAGAGCCGTGATCACTTTTGAGACATACCCATAAAAACGTCAAGCATTCGTGAAGTTTCTGTCACAGTAGCACCTGCCATATGGGCACCAACAATTTGGCCTCTTTGATAATCAGAGAGGTTTGCCATTTATAGGTTATGGGTTAGGTTATAGACATAATTTTTACTAAAAATACCTGTGCAAGGGTGAATTATCAATTTGCAGCAACAATAAACAATAAAACACAAAAATATGTCACGTTTTCATTGGTTATGACCTGTTCAAAAATTATATCAAAATGTCAGGTGATCCTTGTATTTTCTTCAACCCTTATAATTTTATCTCTAAATGTTTTCACAAGAAGAGACAAATTTGTTCTATGACACTAGTAGTTTCTGACTCTTCTGAGAGACATATAACTCCGGTCTTAACTACCTATTTATTTCCTAAGCAAAGCTGAAAGAATATACCTATTAGGATTAATTTTTTCCCTTCAAGTACAAACTAATGTGAACTGTAAGCCAAATGTTTGATGCAATTTCTTCCAAAGCAATTAATTTGGGCTTTAAATATTTTGCAGGAAAGGAGAAAAGCCGAATTTTTGAAGAGGAAAGTAGTAGCCGAACAAGGCCCAGATGCTTGGCCAACAAAACCAGTTCGCTCCATCGAGGGCGAGCGTGAAGATGAAGAAACAGCTGTTCACGATGCACAGGAGGAGGAAATTGTGATTGAGGAAGCTATTGACACGTATAAAGAATATTATCAAAAGGTAAGATTTATGAGCTATTGAGAAATTATATACCTACCACTCTACTGAATTGCATTTATATAGGTACCTATATATAGTATAACAATTGGTGTGGTTTATTTGTCACCTGTCTAAGTTCTAGAATGGTAGAAATACAAAAATTAAATTTTAGTACTAAAATAGACTGGAAATAGAATTTTTCTCTGAAACTAGGCAAATACAGTGATTATTCTATGTTCACCTTGATTGCCATCTAAATTATATTTAAGTTGTGCCATTTTTGCCTTTGTTGCCTTACATGGCATCATGAATATGAGTATAATGTTGAATCTGCACCTCTGAAAAGCAGACTTTGTTGAAATTTATAAGGAGCTTGTTAATAATGTGCATAGTGAATGTTCTCTCTACTTTATTTCTATTTAACATAGGTTACCTTTTTTAGTTTTAAGGTACTTTTCTTACAATTCTTCTACATTTTCAATTTATTTTTAATAAATTATTTATCAATTCTTCTCTTATGAATTTCTCATTCATTTGTTTTTAATTTGATTTTAATTGTTACGGTATCAATTTTTTACTAATTTATTTTATGTCTGCCATACAAGCACACATCTTCTACATTTATTACTAAAAAATTTCTATTACATCTGCATAAATATCTTCAAACTATTTTTGCATGTCTCAGAAATGTCTATAAAATTTATTTATAGAGGTGCTTTTTTCATTAGAATTTTATTTTACCCCATTTTCTATACATTGTGAGGTACCAAGGAAACATACATTTGCATAAAACTCTCCACACATTTTCTTTAGGATATCTTTTGCTTTGGTGCCTTTTGACTCAAGCTGCTTTCAATCCAAACACATTTGGCCAACAAATTTTTTATGTGTACTTTGTTTGTGTTAGTAGACTTTATTCATTGTTATGTACTATCGGCTTAGAATCAATTCAGATGGCTTATTGAAATGTTACTGTTTTGTTATATGGCCATGAATTAAAAATTTGAATATTTTTACATGACAGGAAGCAAAGCCCAAAGTGTTGCTTGCTTGCACATCACGCCCTCACTCGCGCACCATCACGTTCTTGAAGGAGTTGAAGCGAGTCATACCAAACAGTTATGTTAAATGGAAAGCGAATGCCAAAATCAAGCAGCTTGGTATTGCTGCCCATCTCCGTGGTTTCACTGATATAATCGTCATCAATGAAGATAATAAGAAGCCAAGTAAGGATGTTCATCACAAACAACCTTGCTTCTGTTAATTTTTTCTCATGAATTAAAATAAATTAATGTGATTTATATCCTCATAATTGGTGGCATTACAGTTATTAATTGATTCTCTGTGTTACAACAGGATGACTAATATGTAGTGCTGTTTTTACCAAACACTCGTATTGTTGTTCAATTTGTCTTCTTAAAGTTAAGTACCTACATTACTCATCTTCAAGTGAATTGATTACTTAATATATAATTTAATTGTTCAACGAGTGTAATCTGAACTTCATTTCAGACTCATTGCTGCTCACACATCTGCCCGAAGGACCTACTGCTTACTTCCGTCTCAGTGGCGTCAAAGTTTGTAAAGAACTCAGGAAAGATCCAAATGATATCATGAAAATGAGGTGATTCCCTTTTATGTTTTTTGTATTTTAGGGCTTTTTTGATGACTCGTGTTTGATTGAAAGAATTTATCGGAACATTTTTAATAAGAATGTTTAGTGTTGGATCATTTGTTAGGCTCCTTCTCTATCGTTCTTCTTATATGCTCCATATTTAAGTAAATTGACTCCACTTTTGTGACTTTTTCGCAACCTAATGCTTTTTTAGTCAGTTTAATAATGCAGCTGTTCTTAAAATTCTCATTAGTTTCTTTTTCTTTTTGAAAAAATATCTGTGCTTAAAATTTACATGGAGGTATATACTGCTCACAATATCTCTGTTTGACAATAAAATGATAATTCATGTTCATAGTTTTTGAAGTAGTTTTATTCTAAGTATATTATCTTAGGTGATCAATAAGCATGGACGCAAATGCTAACTTAGTTTATCAGTAACTGCTACGTATTTTGGTTGAGGGCAATGCAGTGTATTGCTTGCCCAATTGTTGTTTAAATTAATGTCTTTCTACTACATCTCGTAAGAAATTATAAATAAATATAACTCAGTACTCACTGAAGTGAGTGACAGAGAGCGCATTTTCTCGTCCGTCCGTCCTTGAAGTCACGGACGGACGGACGGAAATGACGGGCACAATGGCGCCTTTTTGCCATTAATGAGAAAATGCGCTAAAAATGTGACGTGTTGTTGACAGACCTGAGGTGTTGCTGAACCACTTCACCACACGGCTCGGTCGGCAAGTGTCCCGTATGCTGGGCGCCGTGTTCCATTACTCGCCCAACTTCAAGGGGCGCCGCGTATGTACCTTCCACAACCAGAGGGACTTTATCTTCTTCAGAAACCACTTGTAAGTGCCTACTATGGCTGTTAGTGTAGAACCGAAATGGCTCTCAAGAGTCTGATGAATTACTTTTATTTACTAGGGTCGTTATTTTTAAAATGAAATGGCTTGCAATATTCTCGCAAATGACGACAGCTAGTGGAATGTACGACATGTTTAGAATCGGGATATAATTAGTTTTTTTATTGTTTTCCTCTCTCTAAGAAAAAGGTTTAATTATCTAAAAACCACTGGAATAGTTTCTCTCAACTTTACTAATGTTTTTTCTTATCAGTCAACCACTGAAAAGTGTAATGAAGCTATTTATAATTGATTATAATTCACATTCTAGTGTTTGTTTTAACGCTTGTAATTTGAAAATCAACAAAAGCACTAGGTTAACTTCGATGAATTGGATGACCTGAGTCTATACAATCAAAATTACTTGCAAGTTTGTGACTACATCAGCTAATTACTGACAGTTTTCAAGCTAAACACACCAATTTAAGATAAGAAATCGATCGCTGTGTGGACTTGGGTGCTTATGGGTAGGTACTTAAGCTACCGTACGGCGTACTACGTGTGAGTACGGTAGCTTAAGTACCTGAGGCTGCTATGTGCACTTAAATAATTTTTATTGTACGGCCACTGGACATTTGAAACTTCCGTCCGATATTTTACTTGCAGATACCAGTTCCGCTCCGAAGAGAAAGTTGGCTTGCGGGAGCTGGGCCCGCGTTTCACCCTGAAGCTGATGTGGCTGCAAGAAGGCGTCATGGAGGGAGACTACGAGTGGGTCTACAAACCCAGGGAACAGGAGACCAGCAGGACAAGATTTGTTCTATAGACATCACTAAAATAATCAAATATTTGCGTCTCGAATGTTTTATTTGCCCCATTATTCTCGACATCCTACCCAGAGACTAACATTGTGAGCGATGAATTAATAATTTGACGGAATTTGTACCAGCTGATGTTGAAAATTTGCTTAGCATTCATCTGTTACTTTTCACCAAGTTACATGGTTATTATTTAAGTAGGGTAATCGTAGTCATCACTTGATTTGCCAGCGTTACTTCAGCCAAATATGATTTACTGTTGTCTATGTTAACTCGATGAAATGCATTACAGTTCCTTGCAGAGGGCTTGGGCACGAGCTTCTTCTTGCTTCTTGACAACGTGTTAGTTTTTTCTCACTTTACCTAATGCCTGGCTCTGACGTACCTCCAAGGCACGCGGCGTTGAAAAAACGTTGATTAGGAATTGATTTAACTGAAATAACGTTTAATCAACGTTATTACAACGTCAGATACCCGGCTAATGACGTTGTAGAAACGTTTGTCGGGAGTTGATTCCGTTGGAACATGTTTTAATCAACGTTATTTCACCGTAGAACGCCTGGTGAAGTGGAAGCTCGGTGTGTGCCACAGACGCCAGAAGACTCGTGCTCATGTTAGGGGTCTTGTGCTGACGTCCCCTCAAACCTCGAGTCAGATTTAATCACGGATATAAATGGAAATCGTTAAAATTTTTACGTTACGCTTTTCTTTAATGATAGGGGATGGAATTAATTGGATATTTGTTGAGTAATTAACTGCCACAAACAATTGTTATGCTTTATGCCAAGTTTAAGTCTTCTATGATTAATACATGAAGATATCTCACGTACATTCCGACATACGATTCATTGGCGTATGGGCTTGCCAGTTTGCTACTTGAATTTATTTGGTATACTTATTCAAAGGCCAGGTTGTTCTTAAGTGCTTAATACTACAGTATGCTATTATGCTGCGGTAGGATGGCATCCTGTGATCACATTCTTGCCTGGCAAAAATGAAAAATTGGGAGTTCGTATTCTATTTCGAAATTGAATAATCTTTCATTATTAATTTTCCCTTCGTGGTCGCTATCGGAACCTAATTCTTGGATATGTTTTTTTTTTGTTCAAGGCCCACCTTGTAGTTAGTTTTGATTCATTCTTAACTAGTTGTTTACCTCTAAGTCCATATTCTGAGGTCTTTGTCTCGCTCTGTTCCTCTTATTTGTGTGTCTTAATTTCCAATTCTATTTATATAGTCTTTGAAAAAAATGGAGTACAAAGAGTACAACTGTCCCCACTATCAGCGACACTGCAAGCTTGTTGTGAGTGCCCCAACATATCTTAATTTGTATCTGGAGCAAATTGATTCGAACTTTCTTAACTATATTCTCATTATGGACTTGAAATACTTTCTGTAGAAGTCATCAATGTAGCTTGAAATGACATGTGTTAGTATTTTATATTTTTTGTCATTAAATCCATATAACAGCTACCAATGAGCCATTAACATTCAATTGTGTCGAGTGCCAAATAATGTTGTCAGTGTATCAGCTCTCAAATTTGATCCAAATGAGTAAAAGATCAAAGTAACCTGCAACATTTTTATAAGGTTAGAAACTACATGCAATAATTAGTTAAGACGAACAGTAACTTTCAATAGTTTTAGAGATAGGAATTAATATTCAGTAGTTGGATAAGAGTAGAAGTTACGTGCAGTAATCAGATGAGACAAGAAGTAACTTGTGACAATTTGCAGTGTCCTGAGTGCTCGAGGGCGTACGTGTGTCGCCTGTGTCACGACGACGCTGAGGAGCACAACATCAACAGGTTCGCTGTCACCTCCGTCGTCTGCCTCGCCTGCGACGCCACGCAACCTAAGGCCGCTGAGTGCGCCCACTGCGGCCAGCGCTTTGGCAAGGTGCCGGCAACTGGTGTTCCTGTCAATCATTAATTGCTGGACGAGAATGTTATACTTTAATACTTGCTGGACGATAATATTGTACATCAATACTTGCTGGTCGAGAATATTATATTTCAAAAATTCATGACCAAAAATATTGCACATCAGTACTTATTAGATAATAATAATGTACAGCAGTGCTTACGGGCCAAAATTGTATTAATATTGCACACCACTTTTCTCAATACTTGCTGGCCAATGTGGTCAGGAGAAGATGTTCTCCGATACAGTTGTAGTTTTGTTGCAGTACAATATTGATAATTATTGCAATTAAAACGATCAACAATGTTTTGTCTGCTAATTACCAGTCTACTGTGGTTATAGTTCATGGTAGGTATCTTGATTGGTCCAGAAATATGTTCAGTTTATAGTTATACGATCAGTGTAGTTGTAGGTTAGTTAAATTCTATATTTTCTTGCTGCTCTAGATATGTTGCATCACTTGCAGCGTAATTTTGATATTTTGTTAATGCTCTAGATGCATCGCATACAACAAAAAGTTAACATAATTATGTTTGTGGTGGCAGTATTCGTGCCTGGTGTGCGCGCTCTACGATGACCGCGATCTGGGCCAGTTCCACTGCGACGGCTGCCGCTTGTGTCGTGTTGGAGGTCGTGAGAAATACACGCACTGTGACACCTGCTGCAGCTGCTTACCCAACCACCTCGCTAACAAACACCAGGTAACTAAAACCCTTACTCATTACCTTGACACTTTAGTGGTAGTGCTGAAAACTGGCCAGATTGGTGGTATGTATACAGGCTTATGTCATTTATAGATTGAGATAAAAAAGCATCTCGGCTTCAATCATTGTTTATTTGGGTAAAAAATCCTATCAGGCAAGTTTCTCTTCTAAAATATAATCAACAAGACCGAATTACAACCTCCGTCCTCGGTGGAGTACATATGTAATCCGCTCTAGGCTTAACCTAAGACGCTGCAATTGCTTAAAAATATTCGGTGTAACAAGGTTGGTATTACAGATATTTCTAGTTGTTTTAATTGCAAAACTTGTATTCTTAGATATGACCAGGCTCTTAGTCAACTTGTAGCGTCCTTTGAAACTTGAGTTGATTAAGCTTTATGAGAAGTGTATTGACCAGAAAGAAACGTGAAGTACTTTTGCTTTACTAATGTGCCTTAAAATGTATTGTATTGGGCTTATCAGAATCCCATTAACATGAGGCAAGCTTCATTTATAGTTTTCTACCGTATTCAACACAGTACATTAAATGCCATTTATTCGAGTTAATTGCAGTGTTTGCCCGGTGCCAGTGAGAGACCAGTTTTCCACTGCACTTAACACTGCATTAGATGCCATTTATTTGTGTTCATTGCAGTGTTTGCCGGGCACCAGTGAGAGGCCAGTTTTCCACTGCACTTAACACTACATTAGATGCCATTTATTTGTGTTCATTGCAGTGTTTGCCGGGCACCAGTGAGAGACCAGTTTTCCACTGCACTTAACACTGCATTAGATGCCATTTATTTGTGTTCATTGCAGTGCTTGCCCGGCGCCAGTGAGCGGCCAGTTTTCCACTGCACGCAACACAGTACAGTAGATGCCATTTATTCGTGTTCATTGCAGTGTCTGCCGGGCGCCAGTGAGCGGCAGTGCCCCGTGTGTCTGGAGGACATCCACAGCGCCAGAGACACGGCGCACGTGCCGTCCTGCCACCACTTCCTACACTCGTCCTGCTACGAGCAGCTCATCAGGCAGAATATTTCCTCCTGCCCCGTCTGTGGCAAGTCCATGTTCGAGATGACCAGAGTACGTAACATTAACCTTATTCTAATGATAATATACGCACGTAATATTAATTTAATCTTAACCAATGTTAAGGTTAAATCTTAATGTTTTATTCAAGTACCGGTAATGCAAATTGCAACTCTAGATGACCTGAGTACGTCATTTAATCTCTAGACCTCTACTATTGTTCCTGAAAATTTAAATGTAATCTTCTTTTATTGTTCATTGAAATCATGACGTTTCTTGCTATAAGCGGCATTGTCGAAATTACGAGAGCATGTTATTTTTACTTGATTTATCTTCATTTGATGTTCATTGCAATCGAGATGTTTCCTGCTATGCAAGATGCCTGACTATTTTGTTGCCGTAAATGCCTGGATACGATGTCGTGCGAACATATTGGCCCAGCTTATAACCATGTTGAGTATTTCGCCAGAGTGTGCTTTGTAAATATGTTAGAGATTGAAGGGAAACGTCATGTAGTGCCAACATTATGGGGTGCCAACCAAAAGAAAGTTTGGATTTTTGTTGGTCTCGTGGTCGAGATTTTTTTTCAATTGCATAGGCCGCGAGGCAGAGGGCATTAACCAAAAATTGTAATAAACTGACTCCATTTACTGGTTACAAGATGAATGTTGAGTTTTTGCAAATGAGACTGCCCTGAAGCAGGAACTGCTTTTGCTCCTCTTGGTTAGTCAACTCGGAGTTGAAGTTTGTTATCGAAGTAATACCACGTTCAGCAGCGTCGTTGACAATTTTCAGCGTCTGCACGTCCTGACAACTTATGCAGTACTGTTCAAGGATTTTACATGTGTCAGGCTCCTGCTGTATGAAGTTAGTTTCAATTTGCATTGCCTCAAAAAGCTTGTGTGTGTGTTAGTTGAGACGAAGTTTTACAGAGTCAACTCAGATCAAGTTCGGTCATCCAGAGATTCAACTCTAGGTGTAGGAAGGTTTTCACCGGATTTCGACAAGGTTGTACCATTTTGCGCTTTTCTGGATCAGTAACTTCTGAATCAAAGGAAGCAAATAGCACAAGAGTTTCAGTCAAGTACCATAAGTGGCGCATGAATGTCTTGTGGCTGCATTGAAAATTGACTTATTAACTGTTCCATGAGCAACAAGATCTTTGAGTTAATGCAGATCTTTTCGTGGAAAAATTGCTGCAAACGTACATGTGTATAATGCTTGAAGATACAGTTTCACAGTAAATCCATTGAACTGTAGAAGCCTTTTGAATTTAGACTGTGCAAGATGAAACTGGAATCGAAACGGTAAATTTTCAAGCTGTATTATCATTCATGCCATCCAGCGTGCTCTGTGATAGACACCCGGTGAATTAATGTGAAAATCATTTAGCTCGTTACCGAGATATTTCAGAGGCAACTGCAATAATTCTTTGAAGTCATCTCTTAGCTGCATTATCTGAAACTGGTTTTGACAGAACACAATAATAGATTCAGTTTCTGGTTTCAGGATGGCTGAAACTGTTTTATCATTAGCACTACTTCCTGGTTTTGTTTTGTCTATTTGGCTCCATGCTTGTGAGGAGTGTTCATATAACTTGATACTTGGATCACTGGAACATCACATTAACAGATTAAAAACAGTAGCTATAATCAATTCGAGAACATGTTGCCTGCCTGCTAAACTAATAAGTGGGTGCTGAAGCTTCTGAAGCAGTAAGTTCTGTTGGAGCATGTTGCACATGCTCCAACTTTTGTGCCTGTGCTGCTGGCAGTGGTATCAAAACACTCCTGACTTACGCTCATCTTCACATTTCTTCTTTTTCCTGCGATTGGTCTCTACCATGTCGTCTTTTTTCCATACCATGAAGCACCATATCAATTCCACTTAACTTCAACGCCTTCCTTTCTCTCTGTGCAAGCAAGAAATTTCGGTCTTTTGGAATCTTGATTAAATTTCATGCATCTTCATGCGCAACATCAAAGAGATCACTAACCACAGAAGTCAAGCGGCAGATTCGAGCATTTATTGAATCTGACCATCTGGTGGCTCCGTAAGAAAGAGTGAGGCGGGAGTCGGGAAACGGAAATCAAGAGCTCGGAAGGCGAGTGGCCAGCAGGCTGGCCGATGGTGACATAAGGGGGGCTGTGACAATTCTTACTTTTTCTCAAAAATTGATTAATTTTTGAGCAGTGTGGCAGCATTTTCTTGAATAGTTCTCTTGTCTAGTGTGTGTAGGTAAAAAATCTGCTCAGAACCTGCCAATTTGATGTTAGTTTGGACCCTGAGATACTTTCAGACGTGCCTCCCATTAGCCAACTGCCACGAGTGTGTGTGATAGCACTGGTAGATGAAATTGAGTTCGGCATTATGCAGCTATCTTTAGTCACCTGTGTGAAACAAAAACGGGATCAGTTAATATATGTTCATAATTACTGACGCAAAGGCATCTATGGTCACTAATTTTTCTCGAAGTCAGTTGCTAATATAATGGTATTCTACAATATGTCTCACTGATATACTGTATCCTACGTGAAACAAGTAATCCTTACGCTATTGTTTCATTTGTTCCTGTAGTACGAATTACGAGCAATTACATTGTAACCTCTCCAGCAGTCTTGTGGAGGTCTTTACTGCACGACATGACGATATAATTTCTGGTCAAACAAATAGTTTAATAGAAAATAAACTTTAACAAAGCATTGCCAGCAAAGAATATGCAATTCAACTGTTAATTTCCTGTTGCGAAGAAGAAATTTACACTCATGCTTCTTGCACGTAAAAATCAAATATTGTCAGAAAATATCAACTGGGCATAGACAGAAAAATAAAGTTCTTGTGCAACTAGTAAATATTGAAGTATTCAATTTTTTCGGCTTTATTTTAAGGTCAAAGGAACACTTTTAGGGGGCGAGAGTACGGAAAAGTTGAATTTTATTTGTTACCATTAATTTGGTTGGCACTCTAACCCACAAGTAACCCACAAGTTGAAATATGGCAGGCATGTCAAATAGCCTATCAATTTTGTTATATTTTCGAAACCTGCATAAAATCTCAACATGTTGTTTCTCTTATCCATTAATGTCCCTTGAGCATTAATGCTCATGTTCTTTCATCATTGCTGATTTTATTACTGAAACATAACAGCTCATATGTTTTATTTGTTACCGCCTGCGACGATGCTGAAAAATTTCAATATTCACTGGTTGCACAAGAACTTTATTTTTCTGTCTATACCCAGTTGATATTTTTTTGACAATGTATGATTTTTATGTCGAATGATGCAAAAATATGTTTTATTTGTTATCATTGTCAGCAATGGGAGGAGCTGGACCAGATCATCAGAGAGACGCCCATGCCGCCATCGTATCGCGGCGTGTGCTGTCAGGTCAACTGCAGGGACTGCAACAAGGTGACCAGGGCCTATACTTTCAAAAAAAGTTAAGAGATCGTAAGTTCATCAGCCAATCATTGACGTCCTTTCATGCAAAATCCACCAAAGACAAGAAAATAGAGCGTAAGTACTTACGTTCACTTAGCGAGTTTTGAAAGTATGGCCCCAGGGCTGCGATCTATCCTGATCCAGTAACAGATACCTATCATTTAAATTATAAATACCTATATGTGCGATAAGGTGAATCAAAAATACTTTGAACAGAACCCCATATGAACTATGACTGCCATTCATAACGAGGGGCTAAATCTTGTGAAAAACTGGTCATTTGGGATCATTGAAAGTATTCTTAACAAGTAGCGCTTGAATGTTTGTTTTAGTTTATTAATTTCGAATGTATACTTATTAAGAAATTGATGTAACTTGATATGTATTTACCAATTATTTCTCCAATTACTAATCGTGTATCTGTCTTTGTCTGACCTGAGTGAATAAGTACTAAGTTGTCCACTAATGAAAGTCGTAATTGCAGGAAAGCATTGTGATATTCCATGTTGACGGTTTGAAGTGCAAACTTTGCGGCTCTTACAACACTTCCAGGTCCGGTGGAAGCTTTCTGCGCAGGAAGAAAAGTTAGTTTACGTCCTCAGTACTTCAAATTATTGTTTAGCCTCTGGTTTTTTCTTTACCAATTAAAGTAGCTTTTATTTTAATTTTATCTTTGCAGTTTTTTCTAGATTCTATGTCTACCTATTAATGAGGGTATTTATCACTTTTTATTCTCAAATGACTTATTTTTTTTACTTTATTTGAGTTATGGACCATTTTTATTTGATAATATTTTGTTGATGCTTGAACCTTGTGATGCTGATCATTTTGCGGTGGTGTGTAATAGATAGAGGGCTGCTCTTCATGACTACTTGTAACTGAATAAAGATGCCTTTTATGACAGCAGACTACCGCTTGGCGCTTGTGATGGCGTAATCACAGCCTGAAACTTCTGTATTGCATCCGATAACTTGGTTATACTTGCTAATGTATGATGTTTATTCCAGTATCGCGTGACACCGATGCGAACATCGGCTCCCTAGTAGTGCAGTGTCAGAGCACCGACGTCGGTGGCAGCAATCAACGTACTGACGTTGTTTCTTCTAGCTTACCTGCTGCAGAGTCCATGGACGCTGCTGCATCAACATTTAGTGATTCCGTTACAGGACTCGAGAGTTCAAACTCGTCAAATGTGGCTCATCTCACTCCAAATGCCACCTCGGTGTCGTCCAGCGTGGCTGTCGTGACACCCGAAGCAGACTTGACGATTGCAACGTCAGTGGTGCCCCAAGAGACTACTGCTTCCAAAAGAGGAACTCCGGGAGCAGTAACGGCTAGTGAAGAACTGCACCTATTCGAGCCCGTGTCACTGGAAGAGCTTGAGAACGACGATACAACCGATCACGCAGAAGGAGGCCTCGCCGCCATACTGCAAGGTCTTGTGCACGGCTTGCACGACATCATGGGTGTCGAGGACGTTGATGACGACGATTTTAGTAGCTTTTTATCTGGCGATAGCACTCCGCCCGTAGTCTTATCTGTTCAAATCAACGGCCAGGAAGCTGAGCTTGATGAAGCAGAAGCCAGCGATTGGGTCACAGATGAAGACGATGATTTTGATACTGGCGATAATGGTGAGTTAGAGTGACAGAGCTAGTCTTCAATAATGCGATTGGATTTTCGACATGAAAATTACTCTTCATGGCGAGTAACTTCAGAGGCCGCTATCCTAAAAATGGGGACTGAATCAGAAGAACTGCAGAGTGAACATTTTGCATCAATCAAGTATCCGTAATTGTGGCCGTGTTAGTTTCGTAGTGCTTATCTTAGAAAGTTGCGTAGTGTGCTCATCTTGTCATACTAGTTTCGTAATGCTCATATCGGAAATAGGTGTTGAGATTAGGAAAAATAACTCAATTACTTGCGTTATTTTTTTTTTTTTTTGCAAAGGAACCACAAAAGTGTAGTTATTGTACTAGTAAGCAAATTATATCAGCTGAGTGTAACTTTATGATGTAAAGTAATCAAAAGTTGTGATGCCTTTATTAGTTATTCAACTAAACGGCAATGCGTTGATACCTTTAACCTTCGGTTTACTCACCATGATATTTGCGGAAATCAATATCTCGGTGCGAAATCATGTTTCCTTTTGACGATTCCTTTTCATGACTGTTGCTCATTTCTTCTTCTTTGTTGCAATTGTTAGTGACGATGAATGTTACTTGTCGATGTTATCCATATTTCATTAAAGTGACATTTCACCCTTTGTCTGTTAGTCCTCGTCTATATATTGTTTTTGTTTAAATTTTGTTATTTTCATGTGATATTATTTGTATCCGTTATCCCCTGATTGCAAAAAGTTCCTCCAACGTATCCCAGGAACAGCTCACCTTTCGAGCTAAGTGTCCTGAACTATTTCAACAATGAATCTTTCGTTAGTTCCGACTCAATTAAAGGCTGGATATTAGCTACATTCAGCGGTGTGAGAGTGCCAGCCTGTTTATGGCACGCCTTGAGATGCATGGGAAGTTATTTCTATATCAAATCTTCTATTAAAAAAGTTCGTTTAGATTTCCGTAATCTAGTTCTTTCCTTAATGAAGAGCAACCGAAAACAAAATTAGAAAAAGATAATGTATTGTGTACATATTTCAGAGAGCAACTAATATATGTTAGAATATACCGGTATGCGACGGATTTATTCAACATGACGAATACGCCTGTATACGTATCTTTGGTGCTGGAAGTAATATTGTACTTGCTATTGACACAATAAGTCGCGGATGCTAGAGCTCTACAAATTGTCTTCTATTGAATTAAGACTGCCTGCTTCTCGTCCGCAATTTCATTCAGGAAAACGTCTTCCATGAGTTTCGTCATTCTCTTGCTGTGTCTTTCAGCTTTCGTATTTTTTTTTTATTGCCGACTAAAATTCTTCTTAAGGTCTTCGCCAGTTTCCCTAAATCGTGCCAATGCTTTATTTTCTTAGCGCGCTATCACATTATGTTCTTTATTTTCTTCTACCTATCTCAGAAGCGCAGGTAAATTTCGCGCATACTATTACTATTATTCTACTACATTCTACTTATTCGCCCAGTGCCTTCCGCCAACGAGTGTAGATGGAGCAGCTGAGTTGTGAATGCTCGCTGACATCGCAGTCTCCGAATACGAAGTATTCTGAGGAGTACGATCTTTGTTTGATGAGCGCTGCTTTCATATTAAATGTTGTGAATAAGGCAAGGGATTAGTGTTATTTTATTAGATACGGCAACTTTACGTCAACATCTATAGTGTACGTACATTAGTAGGCTTATCTTTGTGTTTGTTCCGTTTGCGAAATAACCGAGCAGGTGTTACTTGGGAAAGTAAATATTTTGCTCTAGATTAGATTTATTGTAAATGCTCCGTTATTTTCACTGTGATGTGTGTATAACATTAGATTTACTCTAAGTTGATATAGCCATTATGCCTCAAGTGATCAGTTTCGGAAAAGATAATCTACAGGCTTTGGCGTCATGTCGGAAAGCTGGTAAAGGCTTAAATATTAGCGATTCAAGTTGTGTAGGTAGCATAAGAAGCGCTCAACGTTAGCACGCTATTATTTTGCTTACTGGTTGTACAAATATCTCGTTTTATGTCTGGTTCATGGTTGTTGGGAAAATGGCTCCATCTATATGATCGCCAATAATTACTCTCTGTACAAGCTCGCCTAAATTTTCTATTTCGGGGATCTAATCATAGTATCTGCTTGGCAGAACTCATGCTGGTTTCAACTTGAGTGTTACTATATTAATTTGGTTTGGAGGAACTAATCTATATTTGTAATTGGAGTAGTTAATTTTCATAACAACTCGGCCAGATTAATCCTTTTCTTTCCGCTAATAACTTGGGTTTGTCTGAATCTCGAGGGGCTTTTCTATGACTGGGAATTACGCAAGAGAAATTCTTGCCTCATTTAATGGAGTTTGTTTTTGTTAGGGAAACGTTGTTCTATGTTGATTGTTACTATGAAAATTCTGCCAAACATTGTTCCTGGAGCGTCTGTATTGCTTAGCAGGCGGACTCGTACGCGTGATATGTCTTTGTGTTGGGTTGGAGGAAGACTATCGTAATTTTACCAGTAAATTACAGTCTTAAAATGTTGCCCGAGAAGATTTTAAACAATCGATAGATTTATTTACATGTTTTGTTTGCAGATCTGGCCTCTGTGGTCACGTATTACTTGTCTTCACGCACGCTTCTGGAATTTTGGTTTCAGTGTGACACAGATGCGTTTGATTCAACCGATTTTACCTTTGTTAAGCGCGATGATAGGTCAGTCCAATAAAGTATATATTTTTTTACCGAGTTCATTTTTGAGTTCAGCTTTTGAGATCAATCCTACTTCTGGTAATGAAGGGAATTCTCTGGTTATAGTTATGTTCAGGCCGTGTGACAATTTTGAAAGCCAAGCGTGGCAGCTGTAAGGGAATTGTTAATGTACTGATGATGAACTTAATGTTACTTGTACAAAGAGATTGTTCAGTTATTATTTATGAAATTGTTATCGTCGTTGCATCAATAAGGCCGTCGAGTGTTAGTTTGAACTCTACCAGTGATCATTTGGTTTTTTGTTGTAATGACGTTGCTACAAGTGTCGGAAAATTTACCGGTCGGAAAAAATTTTAGATGGGAACAAAACCTACAAAATAGAGCACATCATGAATTGCATTCAGCGGCAAGGATGAACGAAACAGGTTCCAATATTGCTTTTTATTATTCCGTTACAAATTTTTATCTACAAGTGGTATGATGTGGTATGTTGGTTAATGATGGAAAAAGGTAGAAGAATCGAGCTTCAAGTTCGCCGGATCGGCGATAGTCTTCCAACTTTTTATCTGCAGCCTAGAGATCGAAGTACGGCAAGTTTCATCGAGAGAGAAAAAAAATGATTTAGCTACATGATAGTGGCAGTGTGGCATACTCTTTATTTCGATGAACATCAAACTGCAGCCTACCAGAAACATCTCTTTAGATGGCAATCGCCATGTGAAAATTTGACGTTGGAAACACGTGACGGTTTCTTCAAAAATGCAGATTCGAACACAGAACTAGTTTGCGGAACAAAATTGCAATGTGCGTAAAAGGGAATGTTTATCCAACCACAATGTGATTAAAATTGTAGAGCGATTTGTAAATGACAACTTACGGACATAGTGGTATTTCCGGCAGGTTTTCAAATTCAGGATTTTTCCGACGTTTTTTCCCGTGAAGAAAAAAATACTGCGAAAAGCGATTGACAAAAAAATCGATTAATTTACTGACGAACTCGTTCAGAAATTGAATAATATCCCAAGAATTAAAATGACAGCCAGAATAGAAGTATCCAATTTCCGCTGTTCACCAGACAACAATTTTTTCTACACGTAACATTGTTTAGCAGATAAAATGTTGCATGAAGATGTTGTCTCAATGAATTTAATATTTCGTCATTTCCTGCAGATGCAGTTTGAGTAATTTGAAAGATACGTCGATATCCAACGCATAACAGAAAAATACTACGGCATCCAATGCATTAACAACGAATTAATAACGTGTGCGGAACACGAATTTTGAACTTAACTTCACTGATGACGCTACTGGGACTTCGTTTTAAATTTTGGAGGTCACATGACCAGAGATCTTCGTGATCACCTGAGCGTGTAACCAGGGATCATTGTGATGGCCTGAGCGTGTTGCCAGTCTTGTAACCGCGTGCTGAGAAAATTTACGTACTTTACGCACTACGGAATGACGATTGCTGTTAACGATCGTAGTTTAAAATAGTAATATTATTGCTTCGTGGAACGCCTCGGAAATATTACAAGGACAATCTACTCTCGAACGACAAACGGGCAAGATAGATGGGAACGAGCTTCATGAGCACAAACCAGGACCTAGGAACTTCAATAACAACAATAATGATGATGCATGTCACTCTTATTTGTATCCTGTGACAGAATTATAACAAATAACTAGCACACAAGCTCTCCCTACATAAAAGCTCTCTATTAAGTGGAGCAAATGCAACACTCCCCAGGTATTAAAGAGACGCTGTGTTAGGCAAGAGGGAAGTTAGGATGACGTTCATTTGCACGGCAGTCCTAACAAAAGCAACTCGCATCTGAGTCATGATATGCATAATTTCATAAAGTTTATCGTACTTGCGAAACCTACAGCGTTTATGTCTGATAAGCGATTCTCTAACACTGCAACAGAGACGAATGCATCACAATAGCGCCTGCCCATAAAGAAGTTGAACGAGGAATTTTACTCTAGTCCGCCGCATCGTTACAATTGAGAATTGAATCCCTGACCAATGACGCTCACTAACTTGGTGGTTAAACCTCATAATTCAATATGACTGTACGGCAGTCCCAAAGACTTGATGTTGTTGGAACATGGGTCGTTAAAGAGCTAACTTTTAGCTATGCTTGATATCGTGCACGATAGATAATTTACGACCTATTATTTTATTTCAATAAAAGTCTTAGCATTCTTTTAATGACTGTTGCTTGCAGGCGTCTCGGCGGCAACAAACTCATCTTCACTCATGTCTTGTTATATTTTTCCGCCATTACACAAATTAATATCGAGATCTAGAGCGTACGGAAATCGATTGAGAAAAACATTTTGTGGAGTTAAGGGCATAAGACACTAAGCAAGAGCCCTGAGATAGAAGTCTAGCCTCTTAGCTGAAATTTATCAACTTGAAAGTATCACTCCACGCTTACCAGAATGCCGCTCCTTTCAAATCTTAGCGTTCGCAAGAAATGAAGGTTCGATGAAAATATTCTTAGACTCTTCGATATAAATAACAATAATCTAACTCGCCTAAGATTGCTATAGTGAATAATGAAGTAAAGCTATCGTCCTAAATAACAACGTGGGAGAGATCTAGCAAACAGGCAAATAAGATAAAGAGAAAGCTTCTTATTTTAGATAGTCAGCTTGAGACTGAACATTTGATCGTTGATAAACTTGGGCGCTTTTCACCATGCAAATTTCAGAAGCTCTGTATTTACAGCACGCAAAGTAACGAGCGTCCTCATCACGAAGTCAATGCTAAAGATTCAAATATATTCTTTGTCAATGAATAGTAATTCGAAAAATGAGATAGTACGCCCCTTTAGATTTTACTTTGATCTTATAACCGCTATTTCTGTAAACCTCCCGTGCTTTACGCTAAGTGTACTGTAATTAGTACTAATGCTTATACAAATTAGCAGAAATTTCGGATGGTAAATCGAATACGAAGATGAAAAAAGTGAGAACAATATTTTGTTAAAAATAATCTTGGACAAAAAGCTTCAGAAAATATTTCGAAATTTTTCCGAGACAATGGAATACATCACATTACATAACAAAGTTTCCTTCGCCTTCCAAAACACAACGACCCATCCCTCAGCGCTAGGAAAGATAGGGGAGGATCTAATTTACGAATGGTTGTGACAAGTAAAGTTATCGAACACATGAGTAAGTATCATCAGTAGAAGAAACCCTGAAAGAAATAAACATTTTATTGAAATTATCTCATTTTATAAGGAAATGCGGCAAAGCAAAGTCAAGCCAAGTTCAAGTGAGTGAAATTTGTCCTTGTATAATATTCAGTCCGTGCATGTAGTGTGAATTCTTGGCAAAGTTTATATATATAAAAACAGGAAAATAGTTCAGCATATCTTTGAAAAACTGACTGGAGAACTAGAGAAGTATAATTAATTCCTCAACTTGAATTATATTACGAGTTTGGCTTCGAAACGAAAAACAAAAGTATTCTTATTGTCAGCCGACACAGCTGATATATGGACGTACATGTTAAAAATGAACAAAGAAAATATTCTACGACATTGTAATTGGCAGTCTAAGATAGGCACGATATAGTAGAGGATAGTATGGCAGTCAAGCTTCCCATGTCACACATGGCACAGAGAATAGCAGACTTCAAATAAAATCATGTTAAACTAAATCATTTGATATATTTTGGTAAGGTGCAACATGAGTGACGAAAACCAATAATTTTTCAACGAAATTCGTTTGGCATCTCAGGAGCTTCAGTGAACTTAGAAGCAGAAAAATAACCACATGATAGTAGAAATTCATAGTGTCAATTATTATTTAATTCTAATAACAAGACGACATGTCTAGCATCAACAAATCCAACTCTTAAATTTGGCGCTCAACGTATTATATCCAAGCCGAATTATGCAAGAAACATATAAGAAACTGGAACGAAAGAATCACAAAGGTAACGAAAAGAAACGGATAAATAAAAATAAATACACAATACACCAGTATTCGCTTTAGAGGCACTGCCGATATACAATAATTATTCACGGGTTAGATTAATTTCTGGTAAATCAGTGAGAATGATGTAATATATTGATTTACACGTAGAACAAAACTTGTTTTGATGGTTTGCAAACGATGCGCAACGGCGTATCAGGAGTGCTATGCGTTCTAATTGGCTCTACATCAATATAGTACAGGTTTAAGCTTTCCCAGTACAATTTAATATGTTAAAAATTTTAATATTCATTATTATTATAACAAATAATTGATTAAGGAGATTAAAAACGCGCCAGAGCGGTGATACATTTCCTGTTCTTTCTCTGATTTCATCCTGAATTTCCTTTACTTCTCTTATAGGTTTGATATAAATGATCGGAAAAAGTAAAGACAATCGAGGCCTTAGTATTTCAAGTGTTTGGCAGTACAAAGGTTAGAGGATTTCGCAAACGCACAATTCTCACGGAGAATCATAGGTTTGTGCGAATTTCTTTCGCTCAATTGTGCATTTTGGCACATTTTTGTGCATGATATAGTGAAAAGGTGTCGATGTGAAAGAGAACATGACCGTCCTGAGGCATGTCTTAATGTTAAACAGAAGGCACACCACTCGTAAGCAGGGGCCTAAGCACATTCAACGAAAGCTCTAGGTGTTCTTATTATAACGTAGGCTCTACGTGCAACACGCGTTTAACTCACTACATGTGGGGAACGAAGGCTCTAAGTGCACGCAGGCAAGTACTCGTACTTTCTTCATATGCAAGGGTTCTATGGAATTTGAGCTAAAGCCTCACGGACAACGAATAAAAGCGTCATGAACATCATGGCATGGTATTATTATGTATGTACATGCAGCGTAGGAGGGTAACTTATTACCATCTCAGGACAGCCATGTTCTCATTCAAAGATGATGTGTATTACCAATATCAAACTCTAGGTAGTCGGGAAAACGCGACACGTGCGTCAAGATCACGTGATTGAATAGCATCTTCTTCAGTCTGGACAATTAACAACTTATACTTCGTAACCTGCAATGACAGACAAACAACGCCATGATGCATGGCAAGCTTATAGTAGGAACAAAACTCGTTATCTGCTTACTTTTAGGATCTTCGAACACGAAATTTGTGTCTTACAATTTGACATTAGATTGAATGGATTACAGGTGTATCAAATTTCTTAATATATAACTGACTGAAGTCAATGAATCGAGAAAGAAATTGGACATTGCAGGGCGACCAATTATATCGACCGCAAACATAGGGTGACTCGTGTGTGCAAATTTGAGAAGTGCGGTTCTTAGGCAGTACGCAGGGCAGTTGAGGGGCCTCGGCAGCACATTTAAGTACTAGAATCCTTAAAATTATTTTCAGATAATAGCATGTGTACAGGAAGAGAAGATGGCAATCTCACTCAAGCGACCAAACCAACGCGATTTGTACTTTAGTTTGTTGCGTCTTGGAAGCTTAGAAACCGAGCTTTTATTTTAGCAAATCCTTTTATTACCACTTGACTTCTAGTAACCAAGATGACAAAATGTTCAAAGCCATAGAATCCGTTGCACTAAATTTGATATAGAATTATAGTATTAATTTTTTCTTGAATTTCAAACTTTGCAGGTAGAAAAAAGTTGTATCTCGTAAATCAGGTCAAAAAATGTTAGTATTTCTAGCTTTAATCATAAACAGTCATGAGATGCCAAGCATTCACCATGTAATAAAAAAACCTTGGTATACGCTCCTGCACTTTGCTGCTCAAGCACCTCCGAAGATTCTGCAAGGCATTAGTCAGTCTTTCAAAGGCCAAGTAATTTTTTGCAGAATAACCCAAGATTTTACCAATTGGTAAGCTATGGCAATCAAGTATGTTGCATACTTTTGCTGAAATTCATGCAATGGTTGATTCTAGGAAGTGGCCTCAGAATTCGTTCTCGATATACCATGCACTTTATTTATCAATCGAATGTAGATACATACATGCTGGCAATTCAACGACGTTGTTGAGCCACGAAGCCATTGTGTGTCTAAAAATTAAACGTTTCTTTAAATCTAAATTTCTCACAGATGCTAACTTGACTTTTATGAATATAATAAATAGCTGCAATTCGAATGTTTTACAAAATTTCGCATTTCAGTCGTCTAATCATTTAACCAGACTGGAGCTTGCAATGTTTTGGGATTTCAACTTACACGACTGGGCCTACATAGAGCACCTTTCTATCTCTGAATACACAAACAATAGTTAGGATAATACTGGGTGTGCTAAGAACTGTATACCTAAAAGCCAGGGCAGGATGCAGTTGCAGTCACGTTTAGATTTTGACGACAGCGTGGAACAATGTATTGCTAGCCTCGGAACATGGCGTTTATTCATCACTTAATGGTCTAATATAGCACGGAAGGACGCCAAAAGCTCATAGAATATTTGCTGCACCTAATTAAAAGACAAGACTTATTCGAATCCGTAAGTTTAAATCTTAGCTAGAGTTATGAACAACTCTTTACGCTACAAGAACCTTCGTTATTTATTGATATATTAACCTGTAAATTACAGGCATGAAATTGAGGCCATCAGAGAATTGAATGCTGGAAACTTTACAAGTATATGAACACTTTTAAGACACTCTAGAGTGCTGTAGAACGTTCTCAAGAAACTAATATATATCGAAGAATTACGAAGAGACAACGCAAAGATGAAGTCTGATAAATTGAATGACTGTAACTCGGCGAGCGCAAACCGTGGCAAGAAATTTTGGTTTGTGCAATTTTGGTACAGGTGAGAAGCTTCGGCTGATGAGAGGTCAATCAGTCTATCACTAATTGGTAGAGATTAACTTAAAGTTTCAGTGTGATAGCGGAGATGGCGAACTAAAACCTCGAACCCAATCAATCAAATTTGAATTACCGTCTGCAGGTAACGGAGCTGATATAATTTTACGAAATATGGAAGTTATAAGGGACCATCTTGTAATGTTTTTTCTGAGGACAACTTGTCTATTTGTATGGCTATTTATTTCACTTCTTTAACAGATGGTATTGCAATGGGATTTTAAGTATTTCATTGAATATTAATCACCGAGAGATCCGTTTTCGAAGACTAATTTTTTCTTCAGATATGGGTTTGGTTGCATTGGCGGAACAGTTAACAGAAATTTCGACTGAGCCAATTCAGTCTTTTAATAATCGTTCTTAAGATCCAGATGAAATGCGGGGATACTGGAGCGATGTTGGAGAGATGTTCGAAAGTTCCTAGGGAAGTCAGTTTAGCTACGGATATCACCCTATCTGTCTACCTCCAGGAATCTTTCTGAAGCAGCATCATGTATGCCAATATTATCGTAGCTACACCTACTTCAATGTTCGATCTCTAGAAGTTGATCGCGCTGCCCAAACAAACTACAGCTATACCGCCATTGCGCAGATATCGCTGAACTTGGTATACAAGCCATTTCTACCTTGTAGATATTCTATTTCAATTCAACAGAAGTCTAGTGGAATAAAAGGTACATATTTACAAACATGAAAGAGAAAACAGGCTTAAAAGTTAAGCTAAAAATATGTGTTTTTTAAGAACAGTAAAATTTCATAGATAAAATCTTTATACAAGAAAACGATTCTGTACAGTAACTAGAACAAAAGAAAAAAACAATGGTGATAGTCTCGTAGTAGCAGGATATGAAAGAATGGTTCAGAGATGCTCGAGTTCTATGTATGATAAGAACAAGGGAGTAAACGTTTATCTATATGTTCATTTATCTGCTGTTGGGACTACAGTGCTTAGAGGTAAGGCAGCTGCAGCGACCTCTGGGCAAAGCACAGCCGACTTTCAGACAAACTTTGAACACTTTTTCAAGTGATATCGTTTTTTGGCCTGGTTATATCAGCTGCGTTGATATGACCAGGGTTACGTGCTCGCTCAGACGCACGTAAATTGTCACACGGAAATGTAGTTCTAATTTTATTTACATGACAAAGTTCGGTTGCAACTCTGTTCAGTATGAATAATTGTCTCGAATGCCCCTTACCAGGAAGCCAACTTAGCACCAATACTTGTTAAAACTTCGTTCCATATTCTGAAAGGACTTGTGACGAAATCGAATCAGGTTTGATTTTAAAATGATCCCCGGTATTACTCGCTTTTATTGAGCATAAATTTGAACTCACTATCATCTGCATACACATCATCTAAAAGCACTCAATTTTTATGAGGGTTGTGCTAGTGACCGCGATTCAGTAAAAGAAAATAAAATAACATTTCATTAGGTCAAAAACTCCGTATTTATAATGGACTGGGGAAACTGATAATAATTTTAGTTTAACTTACATGCTTCCACAGGTGCGTTTCACTTAAGGGTAAACGACCAGAGCTTTCGTGTTGCGATGAGAAACAAAATTTTTCTTCTACCTAAACCATAGAAAAAATAATTGATACTTTGAAAAGAATGGCAGTTTAAAATTTGAGTCATTATTCACTTATTGCAGTTCATTGATTCACTGTTGCTTTAAATAATGATGTTTTTAATTTGAGTTTAATTTAATTAAACTTTAAATTTAATTAAGCTTTTGAGTGAAGTTATGAGATTTCTATCAAGCAGAGGCAGTCTGAGCAGAGAGACGCTCAGACGACATCCTAGCAGTAATTCCGTTTAATTCAGTGCTAGCACTACATAAAGCTCAATCTAATTCTTAGCCTAATAAATATTTCAATCGAATTTAAATTTTAATTTATTCAACAATCATATAAATATTATTTAGAACAGATAGAATACTCATTTGTAATTTCTATTTAAATCTGAGAAGCATTAGCGACATGTTATTTGATGTGAAATCCTTGAATTTATTATAAAAATGTATTTCAGCTTCTCAAGCTACTGAGAAGAATGAGTTCAGAAACAAATGTTTAGATAGTAGACGAGCGCGCTCATCCAATTTAACACTCTACTGCTATGAATCGAAGAAATTTAAAGTTCAAAGGGATACAAAATTAATTTTTTCAATTTCGTTGTAGTCTTCGACAACATTGAAGTCTCAATTACGAACTATTGCAATAGAATTTACTTTAAACATAGAAAATAATGTTGAAAGACTTGCTTGCTGGGATGATTTTTTTCTCTCTGTTGATGGAAATAGCATTGAAAAATAGTCAATTCCGTCAAGACATACTCTTGATTCTTCATCACCGATGCTGGCGAGCGATTGGCCACCTAGTGATATTTTTCTATCCTTTACAAGTCGTACACGAAACTTCATAGTTTCTTCTTTAGGTATCATCTATTCATCATCATTGATATTTTTTCTAAGTTTGATTTCGGTATCTTGCATGTCCATCAACCTTCAACATTGCCACAAATATCAACGACACGCGGAATAAAAATCTTACTTGCTTGCGCTGCGCAGATTTGGTGACAAGATATTCGAGCTTTCCCAGTTTGTATTCTTATTGTTAGTGAAAATGATGTGAGCTTACAATGAGAGAAGAGAAAGGCGCAAAAATACTAAAAAAGTTCCGAACAAGAGGAAAGTAACACACAAATATTCGCAGGGTTCGTGGCAGTGAACAGCTGTTATTTCAATGAAATATCCATCGACTGGCCACAGTAATAACAGTTCGCAGAACTTACAACTCGCTTTCAATAGTGATTTTCTTCAAATTCATTGTCAGAGAGCACGCTAGTTAAGTCTTTCTTTATGTTCACTCACAACCGGTCAAGCATGATCCCCGAGGGCACAGCTGAGATAAAGTGCAGTGCTCTGTGATAATATGATATTGTGTTTCTGGCACGAAGATTTTCAAGTCGTGATTTTCAGGAAGAACATAAACGTAATCAGGATTATGACCGTTATCAACAAATTATTTAAATAAAGAGTATAGCAGAAATTGTATTTTTCTTTGCTTACGAGAGAAAGTCATGGAAGTCCAAATATAACTGGGAAATTACAGTAAGAGACGAACAAAAACAAGATAACTTGAGTTTTTTGATGCTCCACGAAAAGTGTTCTGGAATACTTTTCGTTTCGGAAATTGAGCTCGCATGTGAGCCGACACCTTGACTTCGGATCGATCGTGTTTGGCGAAGAAATGAAGACTGGAGGAGCTGAGCGGTTGGATGGTCGAAGGTACCTGATGCTCTGAGTCGAAGATATGTTGCGTTATGATGAAATAATTTGAATTTCGTTGCTTGGTTATAGTGGGCCTGTACTGGGCGCTGGGTAAACTCTGGACATCTGCCAAGTTTGACGTTTGAATCTTGGTGATGGCCGACGTTTGAATGTTTGTGGTGAGAATATGTCGGTGGTGATGGCTGCGTGTTCGTTGCAGACGACGAGTTGGCTGAAGCTGTGCACCTCGAGAGACAGGCATGCAGGCAGCGCGGCTAAGCTGTGGAAAAAATAATCAAATTACAATGAAGATTCCAATTCCGTATAGTTCATTGATATCGTAGACATAACAAATCTACGTAAATAGGTTGAAATTATAAGTACGATGAATGAGGCTACGTGATTTTGACTCATGCAATTAATGAGCACATTATATGTTGCGAAAGTGAATGATTCTAATTAACGAGCGTAGAAAAAAAGTAATACGTATCATACAAATGTTTTTAATAATCAAATAAGTTAGTTTGAAGCCTTTATGATCGAACGTATATATAGGGATTCATTCTTATAACCATGCCAGATGGCATCTCGTCTCGTGTCTCTTAATTTCGACGGTGATAAACTGAATAGCATGATGAAATATTGGCAACTGATACAATCCGCAAGCAAGTTGTTACGATTAAAGCATTAATAATCGTTAATTATCATTGTTAAGTTGGTTTATAAATATATATTAACTACAAGTAAGCTCTATTTTGAGAAATTCCGAAAATGATTTCTCAACATGGCGTAAAATTTTCCCTCAATTAAATAATATTTGATGAGAACAAATTAAAATTCAAGTGCAAATTACTTAAGTTATACCCCAAATGCCAAATATTCAATGTCGAGTGTGATGTTGAAATAGAATAAAAACAATAAGGAATGTAGAAATTTCTCTGCAATGTAAGTCTCTGCAATCCGGTTGAGGCTTGAAAGAGTTAGACTTCATTATTTTGGGTTTGGTTTTTACATTTTACATTTTAATTTAGCCGGTCCAAAAACTTCCGTTAGTTTTGCTTCACGGAGCATGACTATTTTAGTTAAGCGAAGAATCAACCTCCAACTGGTCTAAAGTTAAACAACTAAACAAGGTATTAATTAAATAAATTAATTAATTAATCATATATATTTCGTGGATTTAAAAACAGTTTCGACTTATTTCATAATATTATTCATTTGCTTAGAAATGAATATGTTATTTAATCGCCCTGGGAAACACAAATCAGAATAAATGATTACTTCGCCATCTGAAGTTATTCAGAAAATTAATCGAATCAATTGTCAGTACTCCTACTTTCTTGAAGACCTTTGAATTTATTAAGTTTCTGTGGCCAAACATATCACACTAAATCAAGAAAGCTTAAAGGTAATTTAACCTTGGGATCAGTTTTATAAAACTACAATTTTTGTTTTAATAACGTATCCCGAATTATTTCTAGAAGTATTGTTGGTGGCTCGTAAACGCAAAGGTTTAGTTCTCTTCTACCGCGTTGACCAGACAGCGTCCTGAAAGTTATTTTATTCTTGCAGATGCCGCGATGGTCAGAACAACACCAGAGGATGACCCTCCTGGCACAAGAAGGGGTCGTAAAACCAAAAGAATCCGCGATCACTCTGATGTGACCGAGCATAGCGTTGACCGCCCAGTCCTCCAGTAATCCGAATGTGTCGTATCTTTAGCAGTGTTACTATGATTAAATATCAAGGTGAAAATTTATTTAATGTTGTCATCATTAAATATCAATGTGAAAATTTATTTAATGTTGTCATCATGAAAGTTATTATTGAAAATGTTTTTTTAATGGCTTAACCGACTCGTATTTAAATTAGAGGAGCTAATTTCGAAACGGCCACATTGCCATTAATGCCATTAATGTAGCCATTGCGCAGAAAGGAAGTGAATGAGATGCTTCAGTTAGTTGGTATTCGGTGTTGAATCATTATAGTTATCACCGGAAAACACAAAAACTAAAATGGTTGAACTAACATCTTTAAAATTCATGCAACCATTGCACAACTGAAAAGCAAATGAAATGTTTGAGTGAGGTGATATTTGGTGTTGAATTATTTAATTTTTAACCGTAAAACGCGGCTAGGAAACGGCTGAAGACGAAGTTAAGAATTTTTTTATACCAATTCTTTTTCAGAAACGGCCGAGCATTTGAACAGCACACTCGTGACATTTGAACAGCATTTTTGCTTTTTAAAGTGAATAAATTTCTAGGTTTTGGTGAATTTTCAAATTCAATTCAAAAAGTTATTTCTACTAATTCTATTTCAGAAAAGACTAAACTGACACTCGTAAAATTTGAACAGAATTTTTGCCATTTGAAGTGTGTCAGGGTGATATTCAAGCTAAATACGTAGTTTTTCAATCAGTAGTGACACAATATAGTGCATATGCAATTCATGCTTGTAAAACTTACTCATCGACTGCCTACTTGACATGGAAGATACTTAAAGCCAGATTCTGTTATTTTGTTATTTCATCTATGAAATAGTACTTCTTTTATTCATGACAAGTTTCCGCTAAATAATCAGAAAGCAGATAAATGTAACGTGGAAAGTGGTACCTTGATTAGTTTTAAGCGCATACCTGCATCGTATTATTCCACATGAGTGCCCACTTTCCATGGATCCTGCGTATACAATATGTACAAATGGCATCCTTTTTATCGCAGATGAAGCTCAGTAAAATGCTTTTTTAATGCAAATGCTCGTTACTGCGCTTCATGTATTATACGCACCATCTGTGACGAAACCAATTTTGCCAAATCCGCAACAGTTTCAGTTCTTATCCTAACGCCGGCTCACCGAGTTTGAGCTTATAATTCTATTCTTTTAACGAGAATTTGCAAGCGGGCTTAGCTAATGACCATCCAGCGTCCGCTTTTAGCGAGCTCGAATATACAGCACAAAGGACCATTTAAATTCTGCTGTGGATCGATCCTGTGATGCCGAATGGAGGTGCTCTACATCAAACTAATGGATTGTGATAGACAAGAGGGATTTGAAAGTGCTTCACGCATCAAGTTCGTTACGTAATCGAGAAATCAGGTCATCCTATTCATGATCTGATCGTGTGCACGGAATTCATGAACTCTACGAAAAAATTAATCGAATGACTAACTCATTCATTAGCAACGATGAATCTTTAGGTGCTTTTTACGGCTGAAGTTAAACTAATTGATAGCAGTAAATACTAATTATTACCTCAACAACAAAATAATTTCATTTCGCGTTCAGGGTATTTTTGAATAATTAATTTCATGTTTAAAGCCGTGTTTTCAGCTAATTTGATATCACCTCAATCCATTAAGCAAATTACATCGACGAATATTTGACAAAGAGGATTGATCAATCGGGGGTTGCGAAAGAAAGATGGAGCTTGGTAGCGTGATTGAATTTTCGTGTATTACGATCACAGATCATTGCAAAGTAATTAAGAGATAAAAATGAAAGAAAATTTTCGAACTGTCGACGGAGCTGGATTTCAAGACGTTTTCAGTGAAAATATTTTGAATTTTGATATGGCTTCATTAAATAATGACGGTGGGTTCTTGTTGCCCATTCGAGTGCCTTAGCTAATGCTATATAAGTACTTATATCATTAGTCTGCTTATATCGCAAGTTCACAAGGAATTTAAAAGCAAAGAGAACGCCAAGAAAATTCACCATATCGATATTGAAAACGTTTCGGAGTCCAGCTCCATCATCAGTTCGACTAAACATTTTTCTGGCAAACTAGTTGGGTTAGGATAACCCACACAAGGGCGAAAAGTGCATGGACAAAGTCCCACTTATTTCTACGATTGGACTTGGGGGGGCATTTTCGGCTTCGCTGCGCGCGATCCGAATGCTTGTGACGACGTGGGCTGGAGCCTCGAAGCTTGTACGCCAAAAAAGAGTTACGGAAATCAAACATGCAAACAAAACAAACAACATGTTCGTTTGGTTTCTCTACAGTGTATAATGAGAGAAAAGTTAACTAAGTTCTCTCTCTTACATTAGATCTAAAATGGATGCGGTTTAAGAAAAATATCGTGGAAAATTTCTGCAGAAATTATGGAATTTAATGTAATTAGAATATCTTATATTCAAAATTCTGGGCCCAACTAATTTATCTCACTAAAACTACTGAGTTTGGTGAAAGCGAAATCTTGCATTACAAACCTAATTCTGGGTGTTTCCAAAATATATTTTATTTCATCAATAATTGAATATGAACCTATTCAATTTTTTATTCAGCCATTAGACTTCAAAAATATATTTCACTGAGAGACTATTGACGAGAAAATAACATATTACAACCTATCGACAGGGATTAGATGTATGTTTAAAAGAAAAAATAAGAATCTGTAGCTAGGAAAATCTAACAAAATTATTAAAAATGAGTGACATGTTAAATTAAGTAAACATAATGCATTAATTTAACCCAACATACACATATTCACTCACCGAAATCTTTAGACGCGTGGCCCAATCTCTTGGCTAGCTCGTGCATGACCTCTTTGAATATGAGAGTGTCGACGTTTTGGCCTAGCATGAAGAACAGGAACCAGTCGCCCATTTTGCTTTTTCTCACAATTGTGTTAATAACTTCTTTGTTGATCAAGCGAAACCGCAGGCATAAAAGATACGCTCGCATTCTTGGACTGAGGATAATCATCAGTCGGTAAAGTAGAACAAAAAACGTCAAAAACACAAGTAAAAGGAACCAAAACCACAGGAATATGTATATCTTCTCGTTGACTATATTGATGGGCAAGATGCAAAGGGAGTCATATTTTTCCAGCTCCCCCGATGTACCAAACTTGATAAAGCTACACTTGGTCATGCGAGGGAACACGAAGATCATCGGATCAACACGGATCTCTTGATCGTCCTCCATGAAGCGGATCACATCCAAACCGAAGGTCAGGAACGCACCTCCCAAGAACCGGTCGATCAGAAACATCTGACCTGAAATAGAAAGAATACAAAGAAATTAGTGGTAGTTAAAGTAAAGTTCACTATTACGAGATGTGAATTGCAATCATGATTATTGCATACCCACTACACCTATTGGTCTGAATCACTGATCATCGTATTCGAAATTGAATAAAGGACGGGTACTAATAATAAAAAAGTAGCAATAGGGTAAGAAAACATAAAGGAAATAAAAGATAGGAACCACGAAACAACTCAGTTGGAATTCCAGCCAGAAAAGATAGTCGATCGTGAACCCAACATGAATTTATTGCAATTTAGAACAGAGTACGAAGTGAGGAAATTTTCCGGAAGATGTCGTCTATTCATGACTTGATCGAACATTATTATGCTGTCAAATTTAGGTAGAAAAATGGTTGCTTAAATTTTGGAACTGTTCTGAAGCCTCCACAGAAAAAAATCTTCTAAATCTCACACTCGCAAACACGAAAGAAGTGGAGGAGCCACGATGCTTAAAGTGACGGAAGGCTGATGAGAAGCCCTTCGTGTAAGATAAATCACATGCAGGTATTTCCATCGTCGATAAGCCCGACAGCTCCTTCATAATGCGTGGGCCGGGCATTTCGAGATGACATCGGCGTCCTACGATCGATCATCACGCCAGCAGCAGCAGCATCATCCTCTACAGGAGCACAATCGGCGGGCGCCATAGGCACAAGGAAGCCCATGGCTTCGCACTGAGATAGTGTGTGTGATCAATTTTCAAGTCACTTTGGAACTCAGCTACTTTCTCAGGAATCTGTATAATCTTAATTGAATAGAAGACTATTCCCGAAATAGAAGTTTTGAAAGCATCAATTCGTGCTTTTGAACATATGTGCCCGTTTAGAATAATTATTATCGAAGATCACAAAATTGGGTTATTCAACAATGATCCTGAGAATAAACTTATAATGAACAAAAGGTTGTCATAGGCAGCAGCTGGAAATTCGATGATGGATCGCTCACGTTCCTGCAGCCTTGGCTGTGTCGGTAAACTTGCATGCCGACAGCTGACAAATCGTCCGTTGTATGCTGAACAGAAAGCCCCCACGTCTATGTATACAGTGATGGAGTTCAAGCCATGGAGTCCAATGCACCAGAAAACATGAAATAGCCAAATGCAAGCTCCGAAATGTAGAAAAAATTTCGAATTGTACGATAATTCGGATGGCGCCATTCAACGTGAAATATTGTACTCATGCTGATCAGCTAAACAGACCTTGGCTAAGATTATACCGGCTTCTAATGTATAATCTTTAAATCACGAAACTAGTGTGTACGCCTAACTTTACAATTAGAAGAACATAATAAAATAATTACTAAAATTTGTCTCTGCATCCAAATGTTTCGGACGAAGAAGGTACGCAAGAGAAATGTAGGAGATAGCGACAAGACAAAACAGCCGCTGGCTTTCATCATCCTTGCTTCCCTGACTCTCAGATTTTCAAATGTCAGATGCGATGACAAGAGCTTCATCCAGCTAACATCAGCTTTAGAACACACGTTTTGTCAAGTCTGAAATCTTCATGAATATTAAGTGTTGCTTTGGGCGACGTGTGACTAAAATCAGGACGCTGGAACGAGGCGACGTATCAGACGCTGCTGCTCGCCTGGTAATTTTGTCCCTATCCTTCACATGGTTTTGAAAAGATAGTGTAAAATGCAGCAGACCTTCATTTTCAGTTAATTTTTTACCATTAGTAGCCGACTCCGTTAAAAGTTGGAGGCAGGCGCCGGACTTTAACGAGGACGTTTCATCACGAGACTAAAATATTATTCATCTTAATATTGATGTTATTGGAAGAAGTTTATGATTTGACCTTCAAACGGGTATTAATTAAAGATGAGAACACACCTGATCTTTAACTTTCACATAGTTTTAGAAATTTGAAAGGTTTATGCTGGATACGGAAGCAAAAATTACCCTTTGTTAGATGCCACAAATTTTATTAGTAGATCGATCTGTCAATAAGTAGGAAATAAATACCAAAAGTATTGAGATGAATATTAACATTAAAACCAAGTACAGGAGTTCATCGGGAGATGCAATCGAAAATAAACTGAAGTTCGATGATACAAGACAAAAATGTAACTTAGCCATCGATAATTTCATACCGGGAGATGCAAATTAAAAAGCAACACGCGATAATTCCGTACACATACACACACACATAAAAGAAACATTTTTCTGCATCAACTTGTCGAGGCTTGAGTTACAGATCCAGTGCGATATTTAGGAATAACTTCCCTTGCCTTTTCGACCTGAGCGCAAATCTACTTCAAAAGTCGGTCAAAGAGACGTGATCAAAAATACCCCGCCAGGTCGAGTTTTGCCAATCTCCGTCGAAAACTTTGATTGGGAGGCTCCGTGGATCCGAAAGGCCTGATTGCGCGCGCCAGGAAAACGCAGGACCTACTTCCCACTGATGAGAAGCCTCAAAATTGAAGCAGCTCATTCCTATCAGGGCCAAAAACAACGCAGTTTATTCGGCAGATAAATTGTTTACACGAGCGGAAGCAATGAGCGTATGTGACATGGTGATAGTTGAGATCCGTTATTAGATTTGTCTTTGCCCTACCTAATGTAAAACAAGAAAGATTTGCATTGCTGGCATAGTATGCGTACCCATGAGATTCTCAGCAAAACACTCATGTGTTGGATGGGCCGATGGGCTGTTTTTCGATCAATACCTTAGACTTTGACACGGGTTAGAACATCGAATGAATTATGAAAAAAAAAATCATTTCGTAACATCCCATCTTGAATTTTTGAGTATCCTCTCTACTTTTTTAGATAGGATACTCATCACCTGCGCATCCTGGATAACTGGCAAAAATACACCTCAGTTCATGTTTATGTACAAACATCGAAGACAAGTTGGTCAATTACTGTTCCTTGAACAGAACAATAATACAATGCAAATATTCAATACAGAATCATACAAAATTCCAACCGAGTTCTGCAAACTGAGCCATTTGAAAATTGCGTCCTAAGCAAGCAGCAAGTTTGGTACGGGCTTGGTTCTTGGGCCAGAATAAGACCGCTGGCTGCCGACATAACGAGCCAACTTATAGAATTGGGGGGAGCCTTGCCCACAGAAAACAGTCTCATAAAATTGAAACTGGCAACGCGAAATCAATGGAGGCCATACTGTCATCTCCTGACGTTGTCAATACTGCAGTGTGTGGCAAAACCCACTCAACCAACTCATGGGAAAATATCTAAAACTGGGAGTATTGGACTATACAGAAACATCTTGATAGAAATTACGTGGAAATGGGATTGAACAATAAAATACATTTTTGTCTACGAGACCGATCATCACAGTAATTTTTAAATCTTTTTTATTTTAATATTCATTCAAATTCGTTCAACAAATTTGCAATTATTTGATACAAATAATCTGTTTAATATCGACACGGCTGGGTGTTGCCGCGAAGGCTCATGGCGAGCTCGTCAGCGAACACACATTAAAACTTAGGAGCAAAGCGGAGGATCCTGGAGTTTCTAGGAGCCAAGATTAGAAAATTTTGCACGTTAATAAATTTTATTTTTAGGTTAAAGGACGCCTAATATATAAAAATTAATTTATTCGATAGTCATAACTTTTTTGCAAGCTGTGAAATAATAAATATTCTCAAAATCTCTGCGAATTTGCCAGTCAATGCATTGAGAGAGAACATTGATTTAAAAAAATTGAACGAGTTTACGCTACTGTGAACGAACCCAGATTTTCATGAAATTTATCATTATGAGATTAACGCTCTAAAATAATTTCTAGTTTTCAATTCCCCTAATGTGCTCATGATTGTATTTTTTTTTTCAGCAAAATAATTTGAGGATCGTGAGTCTACCAAAAAAAAGTTCAATCCACGACGTTCCGATATATAGCAACTGGAAGATGCAGACAGAGATTAGCCAAAATAAGGAAAACGCCTTATTTTGGCGTTTAAAATCCACAAAATACATTTTAGTATGGAGTGGCCCACCTTTTGTGGCGATTACACTCTCGATTCTCCGAAGTACTGATTCATACAAATTGTGAATCGTTTCCAAATGAATTATAACCCATTTTTCAGTTAGAGCTCCTTCCAGCTCTTTGCAAGACGATCGATGGCTGAGGGAATCGACTTCTAACTTGCATCTCTAAAATCGACCATAGGTAAATGCTCGATAATATTCAGGTGTGGTGATTGTGGTGGCCAAATGAGATGCTCAACTTCAGTAGAATGTTCCTCGTGCAATTTTTAAACAATTCCAGCAGTATGGATCGGGGCATTATCATCTTGAAAGATGGCGCTCCCCTCCGGAAACAGTGCTTGAACCATTGGAAGAACTTGATCCTTCAAAATTTCTAAATAGTCATGGCTGTTGATTCTTCCGTGAAGAGAAATCGTTGGTCTTCCGTATTTCCGAGAAATAGCACCCCAGATCACCACAGACCCCCGCCATGTTTTGCGGTTGGAAGGAGTCAGTTGGGACAAAACGACTCTTAAGAGTAGAATAGAATAGAAGTGTCGGCACTGAAGAAATAGGCCCATGGCCTGGTGCCGATTCTTGTACTTTTCGTGACTTGATTCACAAGGGATCCGGCCTTTGGAAACCGATCTGACGATTGATTGAGATAGCTGCTGGACTTATTGCCTGGTCCGTAAGGTGCTAGGCATTAATAGCGGTTTCAGCTTTTATTAGGCCGTAGGCCTGTCGCCGATTTTTAACATCGCAGAACATTCACAGAATTTTGCGGTCTCGAATTCGCAACTGACTACTACAATTCTGCTTTGCTTAACCGCCCGGCCTCTTTGCAGATTCTGACCAGAAACTGGCTCATAGAGCCGGTATCGAACCCGCGCCTCTCTGCTCCAATCCTGGTACTCTGAACCTTAACCACTGGCTGTCTTAACCACTGGCTTAACTCTTTTGGCTGTCTCCAAACGTTAACTTGGCCAGTGGTGGAAAATAAAGTAAAGGATGATTTGTCATAGAAAAT